CTTTTGTTGTGTTCTCGCTATCACGACTGATGACTGTCACGCCAACACCATTTTCTCTGTCATGTTAAAGTACACTGAGAATGGCTCTAGATCTCCCTCGCCATCTGAATCAATGATGTAATTTCCGCTTTCTGCTGCTGGGTTGTTCTCCTTTAACTAGCTGCATGACGCAACTACCGAGAGAATTAAAGATCCTTATTAATACGTTATTCCTCTATTCCGATTGTTAAAGGCGTGCTATTCCCACAAGTTGTGTGACTGCGTTAAACATGTAAATAAAAAAAATGTAACTCACAAACTTAGACTGAGACTATATCACAATGATTTTAGCAAGGCACATAAGCCATTAACAACCGTTGCACAAACTTAGCAAGGGCGGATCCAGGACCTTCTGATTGGTTGGGGTCTAAACTTTGTTTTAGAAGGGACTACTGAACTTTTTTGTGGCAAATTACTTCTCATAGAGACGACCACGTGTTTCTCAATCTGTCAATCTGTTTTGTGATGAGAGGCGAACAGATTATGCGAGGGTACCCAAAAGCAATTACATTTTTGAATATCTCTGAAATTTAGTTTAGTGGCAAAATGTAACGGGCATTTCTTTAAAAAAATCAGTCTGTTAAAAAGTTATATACGATCCTGTCGATGTAACAAAGAATTGCAGTCCGGGAAACAAGCGTCTGGTGTGATTGGGGGTGGGACACCACTGCAGTTAACCCTGACATGTGGGCATAAAACTCTTGAGTGATAGGAAACGCTAAATTATATATTATCACAATTCAGCAGGAAAGATATTTGGAGGTATGTACTAATCATCAAAATTCTCTTTACTTTTCTCGCATTTTTCTCCGCCGTAGCCATCTGGGCAAAAACAAACGATTTTTTTCTCCGTGTATCCCACGTAGCAGGTGCCATGATTTAGGCAGGGCCTAGCGGCGCAAAGATTCTGAAAGGAAGAAACATATTTTGTGTCAAATGTGAATTTTGTGATATCATTGGAATATTTTTCTGGGATATATAATAATTTCAAGTGACACGAAGATTGTTAAGAATCCGCAATAGCTACTGGTACACACTGGTATTATCTTTACTGAACCGTACATTGTTAATTTGTGTCAAGTCATCAACATCTTTAATTTGTAGTAATTAATTTTTTTGATTACTTTACCCTCGCATCATTCTGTGACACTTTCGTCCGCAAATGTAATAAACATCGATAATTCTAACTATTGGCACCTCTGAGATCAGAAATCATAGGATCATCGATCTTGATCAATACCTCCCTTATCTTTTAGTTACCACCTCCTACAGTTGTATGTAATCGTTTGATCAACCGCATCATTTTAAACATTATCCTCAACGCGCTCCATCATCATCATCATCATCATCATCATCATCATCATCATCATCATCATCATCATCATCATTATCTTCATCGTCATCATCATCATCATCATCATCATCATACATAACCATAATTTCTGGCAGCACCATAATTATCATTAGTTTCTTCGTCTGTTAAATATTGACCAATTATATGTATTCATTATATATATTACACCACCATCAATGGTGTCCTCTTTATACTTATATCGATCGTCATCATTTCTTTTCAAAAATTTTAATTCACAGATGTTGCCTGGCAGTGACACCTTTGTTGCTCTATAGAACCAGTCTTTTCTTGGTTTGAGATCTTCTGGATGTTGCAAGTGATCTGAATTACTGAGTTCACAGGCCATCTTGTTGTTTATCATTGGACCAATATTATATGAAACACATTCCCTCGCAAGGGCGCATTGGTCTTGGCAGTCTAGGTTTATTTCCACAGAATGGTTGGAGAACACGTGCTCTTCAAGGTAAAAACCTCTTGCTGGTGTCAGAAATGTAATGTATCGGTTGCTTTGACTGCAATCACCTATGACAGAAATTTTTAACATAAAAACTAGTTAATAAGCACAAGAGAGTTTGGCCGACCACTTTCGCACTTAAACAAAGGACCTTCAGCGAAACAGGGCTGTCTCAGAGAAGCCATTCTACCTTATGGCTCAGTCTGTTCTAAGCATGCAGGCGTTCGTGTAGCAGTACCCTTTCCCAAACAGGTCTGTTTGAAAACGGTAGTACAGCAGGTGGACCGCGTTTTTTCGTCTTCAGCCAAAGTGTACAATTATACTTAGCCTAGCATGCGTTCAATTGCAATTACTTTTTGTTGAGGTAGGGCGTTGAAGACTGCATACTAGAAAGAGTACTCTATTTTAGCAAACAGGTGCGCAATTAACTCGTGCGCGCTCACGGTTTAGACACGGTTAGATTACGTATCTTGTTTACAGCAAACGGCAAACATGGGGTTCAAATTGAAAATTTTTCAAAATAAGAAATATTGATCATGAATACATAAAAACAGCTTAAAACAATTCTTGGATAGAATTGGCGTGAATCTACCGATCTTCTGTGAACAGTAAGCGATAAACTTGGTCAAGTGTTCCAAAGTCACGTTTGCCGTTTGCCGTAATAAACGCGATGCTTGATCTCTCTATTGTCGCCTTTGCGTTGAGAACTCTAGCGATGAGTGACCGAGGAACAGCTAAATGCATGTTGCAGACGTGCACTCAGCATGCAACGAGATCTTTGCGTCCATTTTGTTTACTGAGTATTACGATATAGCTCAGCCAAGAACCCCATAAAACACAACCATCGATTGCTAATCTGACGCAAAAACAACGACGTGTCATACTGGGGACCTTATTGAAAGAACTGCTCCCCGAACAGCTTGGTTTATCGCTGCGCCCAGTGGATAGCCTGACCAGATTAATATATTGAATGTTAAATACTTTTGACACAAATAAAAGTGATCAATTTGCAAATCAATGGAATTCTTACAACTCAAGGGAACATCGTCTCAATCTGCAACTGAATGGAATCCTAATAACTCTTGACATTTCAAGTTTCGACTGAGGAGGTAGCATGGCTCAGCAGTTAGAGCTCTAAAATTGTAATCAATGGCCCAGGGCTCAATCACCGCTCTAACCGCTGGCTGGATTTTTTAACGGTAGCCCCGAGTTCACCTGCTCCGGTTGTAAATGGCCAACTGGTTTGCCTCGGGCTAGTTGGGATTCCTAACCTTGTGGGCCACGATGAAAACTACTGGTTTACCAGTTATTGCGTTACCCCTATAAAGTCATTTTCTTTCCCCGTCAACTTTAATTTAATTTTGGACGCAGTTTGCGAACTAGTAGTCCTGTTTAGGAGCGTAGGGTAGATAGCCCTAACCGTCGTGGGTGACTGTGGTGAAGGCACTAGCACGGTACAAAGGAAGGGCTCAAAATATCTAGACACCCCTTATAGGTCACTGGTGACAAACAATCTTCGCTTCAGGAAAGAGGAAAGGGCGTTTTTTTCCCCTCTTTTTTCTTAAAATCTGCAGTCTAAGTCGCTATTAATTTTTGTTGGTTTGCTTGAAAAAGATAAGTATTGTTTGATAAGGAAATTTAAATTTACTTTTCGGAGTCAGACAGTTTCGGTTTTTACTTTGCTACAATTTCTAGAAATTTTAAAATAAGTTACAAAGGTTCCCATTACCATAAATTGTTTTTCAAACTAAAATAGAATATAATTGATGAATTGCTCAAGTGCTCAGTCATTATAGATTGACACATCGATATTGCAATTTTCGTCAACCTATTTTTTTTAGTGTTTTTGCGGTTATCTCTAGGCCTCTATATTGCCCTCAAGCTGCCAATATCATGACACGTGTAGAAACATAGTGTTTCTTTTCTTTTCGTATTTGTTAAACCATCATCGTAATTGTTTTCCAGCGCAATAAGAAAGGATGTAATTGTTATCAATCTGAGAACTATATTTTCCCTTGTTGATAAACATGTTGCATTTTGCGTTAGAGCCTATATTTATCGTAAATTGCTTAATTACATTTAGGATACTTAATTGAGCAAGTACCAAACTGGATTTCAGGTGGGATAGCTCTCGTAATTAGGTAAAAAGACATTACAATATATGAGGAAGTGTCAGTTGAATGTGAGAAAATCATGTCTCATTGCTCAGTCTAATCTAGGAATAAGGTGTAAAAAGAAATTCAATAAAAGTCATATACGCTAGCAACTTTGCACGTGAATTGGAAAACTTAACAAGGCTTTCCTCTACAAGCTAAGAATCTTGTTTATTAATATTCGTTTCCCTAATTTCAATTTATACACGACAAAGGAAACCTGCCAAAAGAATTAAAACTAATGTTCTTTTACAATGTATGTTATGCACTTTAAAAACTAGACAACAGTAAGATGGTGGTTTCTTTGCTTTTGTCCCCTTTTAATAAAAACGGGAGAAACTAACTGACAAATTCACCTGCTGGGTACTAATTAATAACCGCTTTGAACTCTTCAAGGCCAAAATAAACAACGAAAACCTATTAAACTACCATACAAACTGTTTCAAAGATAAGACATCAGACTCGCGTATGAATCATTGAATGATCATTGACCAGAGAAGATACGCTTCAAATCAGTTAAAGGGTTATGTGTACTCGCACCTTTCACTTTTAATCTCCTGCTGAGCCATTCCCTCAGTCCCCCATTGTGTGGAGACGAGTGGAGCGCGTCAACCCAAAGAACGGCTACGTAGGAGACTACATGGAAATTAATGATGGCGATCAAACAAATAATAAACATGCCAAACAAATATGTCTTTCCAAGCTTAAACTTCACAGATAAAAAAATGCTCACTTTTTAAAATTGACTGATTAGCCAATAATGAATAATTAATTTTTGATAAGAAGATTATGTGTTCTTTCATCGTCAGAAAATTCAGGGGCTTTTCAAATCTTTCAGTGGCCTTACATAACGGTGGAAAGTGGAAGGTCTTTCTTCACAGCTTCGGTGGCTGTGACTTCGGCGGCCTTCAGCCGACCCGCCACCATTGAGAAGAAACCCCTTATACTTAAATGACTACAATCAACATCCATTCACTTCGAGACAGCATTAGGGTGGCGCATTGATGAGATCACTGACCGCCCCCCACCAATGTGGCCCAGGTTCGTATCCCGGCGACGAAACCGTATGTAGTCTACATGCATCTCCTTTGTGGGGAGGAGCGTTCCGTGACGACATGAAAAACGACGGCTGTATAGCAGACTACACCATATTTTGGTCGAGTTTATTGTTAGTTCTGTCCCTTGTTCCTATAGAGGTTTTTCTCTTGGTAATCTGGTTATGTCCTCTCTATAAAAACCAACACTTCCAAATTCCAATTCGATCTAGAACGCACGGAGTCGACACGTTTCAACGAGCTCTTAAGAACTCCTAAGAGGTCCGTGGGTAAACAAATTACAAATTACTCTAATCACATTTCTAACACTCACTACATCCACTACTGACACTTCAGTTCTAGCTTCATCAATCTCTATTCACAACATCGTTTACACTCACTGCACTCGCATCATCTACTACGCTTACTAATTTTCCTTCATTCACTGTACTCACTATACTCGCTACATTCACCGGCTCAGATACCATACTCATTAAAATTCTACCACCTCTGACTACAATATGACATTCACTACAGTTAAATATACTTACTTGAATGTATGTCTCTTTTTCGTAAAATACGACAGGAAGCTGTCCATTTTCCCCCCAGGGAACTCACCAACATTTCCGACATTTCGACATTTTTTTCAAGTCTTTTTCCCTGCACGCGGCGATCCTTTTTTTTCTAGTTTAACTCTTCGTTCCTTCTAAAAGTTTACAATATAAGTTTGCAAATTCCTCTATATATATTGCTCCTAGCTCGGCTTTCTGCCCGTTTCCGTGGTCCCACCTTGCTTGTTCATAGCGGAGCTCCACGCGCGACGCTTCGCACCGAGCGTGGGCGGAGCCCCATAGCTGAGAAAATGTGGTAATATACCCATCCGAGAAAATGTGGTAATCACGTGACCGTACACCGACCGCCCGCCCGCCCGCTTGACCGACCGTCCGTCCGCACCACAGGCATACCAAGGTAAAATAACTCAATCAACAGGTATGGCAACCCAAATGCAACTCAAGGTTTTATTTGGAACGAAATCACATGGCCGCCGGGACTTTTAGAAAGAAAAAACAGCAACAGAGTTGTACGTGTCTTTTTCGGCGTTTGTTTTTTATCTTTACACTAACGTGAAAAACAGACAAAGAGCTGGAGCGAGTTATTGAAAACAAAGGAGACTTATTTCATAGGAAGAAAAACATGGAACTTCAAAGCGGCGGTGAGAAAATGAAAAATACTAGCGGCCAGCAAGGTGAAAATGCATGAGCGGCAGTGAAAAATAAAAGCGAACATGAACACAGGAAACAAAATATTGGGTAAGCACATACGACAATTCCTCCATAAAAATAATGTCCAGCTAAGAAGTTTGACGTTTTATTCGTACAAAACAGCGTTGTAGGCGTGCAAAACAACGGCAAGGCTAGGGAAAGACAAAAAAGCATGCTGCACGTGCAAATTTGTTTTTTGCTAATTAGTAGAAAAAGTGTGCTGCACGTGCAATTTGTTTTTTTTTTTTGCTAATTAGATCTATTAGTCTTGAAACTATTTTCACTGTCGTCCCCATTTAGCATTACACGATTTATTTATTTGTTTTTTTGTTTACACGTATTATTAACCAGAGGTTTGCTTATAGCCCTGGCTCATTTTTGCTATAGAAGAACGCGAGAAACGTTTGAGAATGTATTGTTTACACAACTACGGTTTACATATCAATTAGAGGACTAAGTTAATTCTGATTACTTATATTTAGTCTCCGTAAGATCCGTGATAAACCGGAATGAACCTCGTATCGACCCTCACGCTCGAGGGAAATGAGCCGATTGCACATGGAAACTAATTTGAGAGACATGCATATACAGATCATACAGTGAGACACCCGGCAGAGATAGATGGCTAGCGTGCAACGAGAGAAAAGCGTTTCTTGAAGAGAACCGAACTGAATAAAAGCTGTCCCAAAAGTAAGTTACAATTAAAGCACTGGCAACTCACAGCAACTGAACAATTGGCGCTTGAAAATGCAGTTTATTCGAATAACTCAAGATATCTGATACTGCGTTAAAAAGCAATAAAGAGTACTATTTAGCTACTGCTATCATGTTTAGTAAACTCAAAATGTACTGAACTCATTTATATCGCTACTGAAAACTATATACATCGAAGTCTTTACCCGTTTTAAACCTAAGTTAAACACGTATTTTTAAACTGAACCAACCATTTAGTTTAAAATTATTTTTTTACCAAAACTGCTGACTGATTTTTTCGACTACAAAAAGTAAACCAAAATTAAAGTATAAATTATAACGAAATAAGTAAAGAAATACAAGTTGAAGCTTTTCAGAGTCAACCCTATGCAAAATCGGTGTTAATCTTTTGCTATTGATTTTAGTTTTGTTTTAACAACTTGAAAATCAAAAACAAAATAAAGAAATGCCATCAACTCACTTGCACTTAAATATACGTAACTGATTTACAAGTTCAGTGTCACAACAATAACAATGAATTATAATTCTATGATAACAAATGGCAACAAGTTTTTTTATGAGTGATATCTAGGTGATCATGCTGTACCGTAACACATAAACTTTCCCAAAGCGTGGTAGCCTTCCTCCTTCCGTCTATCAGTATCACCAAACCTGAGCTCTATTACTGGAAGTTTTGTCTTGTCGGTGAGGAGACCGCTGTCTTCACGCCATACATCGTCATTCTTATCACAGTTACAGGCGCGTTCAGAGTCTGCACACGTGTTGTTCATCCCGCATGCGCATTTACCACTGCCAGGTGATGCTCCACCCCAGTACGTCATCTTAGTGGAATCACGTGACACCCACCAAGCATATCCGCTGTTACGGAACATCTTCGATTTATAACAGTCATACTTTATAAACTGCTCACAGTGCGAGGAGATTCTGGTGAGATTGGCCAACTGAGACAGAGTCGCTCCATTGTAATTAATGACACGTGAGTAGCTACCCGGGTGTTGAAATCCTTTCACATGAGTCCTGTTCTCACTGTCGTGACTGATGACAGTCACGCCAATTCCATTCTTGTAAGTCATGTCACAGTACACTGAGAATGGTGCCTGATCTCCTTCGCCATCTGGATCAATGTCGTAATATCCACTTTTTGCTGTAGGGTCTCTGTTCTTTAAGTAGGTGCATGATAACGCAACTGTAGAAAGAAGGATCCCGGTTATTCTTTCGATTAGTTATTCCGGTCGTTAATGACCTATTTAAAAGACTTAGTCTTAGACAGAAGTTCAAGTGTTGAAAATTAAGGAATATGTAAACTGAGCGATAATCAAGCCGTCAATAGCTGTCACACAGAGAGGAGGAGCGTAGGATCTTCGGCTTGAATAATATAAACACGATTGATTCCCCCCGGCGGCGATTTAGGAGCTGCTCGTAAGGTCTTTCTTGATTCGTTCTTTTAAACAATGGTAATTCATTGTTTACCATTGTTTTCCGGTTTGGGTAGCAAACCGATTGGCTTTCCTTGATTTCCCTTTTCAGAGTTCATGAAAGCCGGGCAGCGGGCTGACAGTAACTTTCAAAATTTTAACGACATCATACGGCATGTTAAGGCACAGTTGCAGTAAAAAATAAAAAAGGACTGGCCAACATCCTACCATCTTGACCTCGCGCTTGGTGAGTGTTTAAGTCATGTGTAGTATGCATATGATGGCAAAAATGCCGTCCAATACAATTGGTTTTGGCTCCATTAAATATATATCGGTTGACGATCGTTTGAAGAAGAACTCCCCCTTCCCATCCCCCGCCCCATCATAAAAATGTCGGCACAGTTACATCTTTTGGAAGCGGATATCACCAAGGAAAACAACGCAAAGTAAATTTAATACTCCGCTACATTACAAAGTAGGTGAACACATCAGTCATAACTAAAGTTCGCGCATGTTTCAGTCCCAGGTCAGACTAAGGACAGTTAAAGGAACCGATTATTTGATCAAAACACTCAACTGTTGATAAGAAATTCTAAGAACTACATTGTTGAAAGTTATTTGAATTTTTATATCTCGACGTATCTGTTATTTTTCCCGGCATTGATTTTCTTCTCAGTGCGAATCGACTATGGCTCTTATTCAAAAGCAGCAAAAGACATTACGTTGTAAAAACATATCTCGAAAAATGTTTAGTTTGTACTGACATTTCTCCTAAGTAAAATCAAGAGCCATTATTGCTCTTGGTAATTATAAAATGCAGCACGACAGCGAAGATGACGACCATTTTGAATTAATAAATCTTAATTTCACTGTCCATGTTGTTATTTTTAAGGTAAAATTTTGAATAAGAAGTTATTGGCCTGACTTATCTTTGGAGAATGCCAGAACATATTATACCAGCTTACCATTGTTCTATAAATTCGCTCTCAAAATTAAAAACTAAAAATCACAAAACAACCAGTTTGGTACAGTATGTTGCCCAGTATCCGGAAGGTACCAATATCGGGACACTTAAAACCAAAACTCAATTTTTGAGGCGCCCTTTTCAGTTATCGGTAAACGAAGTATTTCGAATGAAAGCTGAACATTTAAGCTTTAAGATGAAGGTTTTGGCGAGTTGAAAGCTTGCGAAACAGTCGCAGAAGATGCCGTTCTGTTGAGGTAAATAAACATTTCATGGCTAATATTTACGCTGTTTACTGCGCAGTAAAATTAGTGCTGCTCAGAAAAGGGTAGTTAATATGTGTTATTTTCAAAGAAACGGTTTTATATTTACCGTGAAGAATTATTTAAAGAAGTCAGGTTCTCAGAAAGTTTATTAATTCTTCTTGAAATTCGATTTGTTTGGAATAACGGAGCCCAAAAACATTCACTAATTATTGATGTCGGGTGCCCAGTATCCGGACAGTTTTTTCTTTGCTGTACAGAATCGATGAATTAGCTGTGTACATTGTCCGGATAAGATTTATTTCATATCCATAACTATAATTAAAGCTTAGGATATATGATGCAGTCGTAAAATGTAATTCTACTCAACTTCGTATGGAAATTTCCTTCACTCATTCGGAGGCGACTTGATTTCGTGTGCGCTTCTTGTTTTGCGTGACTGCATTTTTTATATATAACCGAAAGCGTCAGAGTTGAACCTGGAATTCTCATACTTTCCCCAGTTGTGACTGCTAGAATGGGGTTACAACGGTCTGAAAAATGTCACAAAGGGATTGAGAGATGTGAAAGAATGAGGAATAAGTGCTAGAAAAGCAGGCGTATTGTAGGGTCTGTATGGACGGAGCATGAAGAAATCAAAACTACAGGTCAGACTAAATAAGAGAGTGACCTTTGACCGTCGCATTGAGGTACGTCCCTTCCCCAAGCTTTTTTTTTTTTTAAATAAAGAATGAAGAAAAAAAACTCGTTTGCAGATTGGCTAATTGAGCTAGCAAACCGCGGCTTCGGCATGTCCACGTATGCCTACCTTAAATCAGTGAAAAAGTTCCTAGACAAGAAAGTAAGAATTATGCCATTTAACAACCGCTCGCGTTCCCCACCATACCCCAGTCAATTGATATGTTTTGTTTTACGATGCTAGGTTACATTTTTGGAATCAACATGCCAGACTACTTTACAAGTGCAAGAGAAGCTTATAAGTCACTCGTCTGTCGAAATTTATGTACGATCACGTTGTTATTGTTGTGTCCGGATACTGGGCCAGCTGTCCGGATACTGGGCAACATAGGAGCTCTGCAAAAATATTAATTTCGCGATGGAAACAAAGGCAAAACAGTTAAAATGTCTTCCGCCATATTAAAGACTAAATAGATTTTCTCTGGGCCAAATTTCAGAGCTCTTGCGACTAACACAGGAAAGTTATTTCAATGTTAAACTGAAGTGTCCGGATACTGGGCAACATACTGTACCCGAAACTTGGATGCTTCCACTGGACATTTTTCTTTCGTCACATACTCACCGACAGCTTCAGTTTGTTGTTGTATCACTTGTATTTGTTCCTGAGTTAAGGCCTTGTCGTATACCTGCATCTGAGTGATCCTTCCTTTGAAGCACCTGTCACTACCAATCTTTGCTCCCATCCTGATGTTGTCCTGAGTGGCTAGGTCTAGTCCTGCTCCAATGTTCAGAGTCTGAACCACGGCTCCATTGACCCATAGTTTTGCATCACCGGTACTGCGGTCGTACGTAGCGCCAACGAACTTCCATCCTCCCGCTAAATCAGTGTGCTGAAGGGCGTTAATGGATGAGTTGTGACGATTTCTGAATGTCACAAACAGATGACCATGTTTTACCCATAGGTGTACTCCCGCTCGCCCAGTGGTCCTGTAATTGAAGAGAGGTCCGTCTTTGCCATTGTAATAAACCCAGCAAAGCAGTGTCATGGAGTTACGAACGTCAAGTGGCCCCCCTTCGCTGTTAGAAAACTCGATAAAGCTGTTTGAAGATCCAGAAAATTCGTACGAGCCACCAGGTACCCCGTCGGGGCCGGGAGCTAAAGTAACTCCACTGGCGTTCCCTTCGGCTACTCTGTTTTTGATTTCCTTGGTCTCAAAGGTGGAATTGAGAGGAAAGAAAGCAACAGCATCTGGAACTTGTTAAAAGAAAGCAAATTTCAAATGATCATAAGGGGCAAACTACGATTCTGGGAACAGTTTTTGGCTAATATATCTCACACATTGATCTATAATGTTTAACCAATCACTCAGTGGCGGATTTTGTATGCGACATTAACTCTAATCAACAGACTCTAAATTAATTAGTTTACGGCATTTGCTATCCTGGTGAGTTTTTTGTTAATATCTATTCCAAAGCAACTTGCGAAAGATCCAAAATTTGGTTTCGACACAAAACTTGCAGTCATAGCTGGGCAAAGCACACTTTCTACTTGGAACATATATAAGCATGGCACACATACAATCTGGTACCAAATGATCAGTGCCACGTTGCCCACACCTTAAGCTTCGTTCCGTACAGAAAACAGAATTGGTCTTTTGACTCAAACAAAGCATATTATTAACCAGCTAACGATTGCAACTCAAAGAGAAGAAAAGTTAATTTTATATGACACATTATAGTCCTCGTTTGATATATTACTGAATGATCATTCTAAGCCGCAAAAGTTGATCTAAATCTTCCGAACGTAGAAGCTGACTTCTTACTCGTAGACCGTCTTTATTATAATTGAGTCAGCGACTATACATGTTTTGACACTGTTGTTAAGTTTTTGTCATAATCTAGCAGCCATGAGATTTGAAAAGACAGTAACAAAGAAATTCAGTGGTTTAAGAATTTGATAAATTGCTCATATATCATGCATTTATGAAAATATTTTAGTCTCGAGTAAATATACTTTAACCTTTTTAACTGAAGCAAACCACTTAAAAATATGCACATATATGAAGATATAAAGAATAGAGCCAATTTTGATTACGGCATTATGCAAAAACTGAAAGCCCATCCTGTATTGCGAGCAGAGCTTCCTTGTTTATTTTCTTGATCGACAAGGAGGGAAAGAGAATCTACCTAAATCGCATCAATCCTTTGAACCGAATTTTCTGTACAGGTCAATCTTGTTTTCTCTCGTCAAACTGGTTTTTCGATTGCAAGCGTCTGTTTATTGATAAACAGCTGTGATCATAACTGGACCCGCTGTACCATTAGGGATACACGGCTATTAGACCTGGGTTCGAAACTGTTTCCTAGCAACATACAGCGCATGCTCAACGAAAATCTTACTCGATTCACGCAGAGTCTTCCTAAATACTCAGAAAATTGAGCAAGCAAAAGAAAGTTTCTGCTGGCTAGGTTGGGAAAGCTCTTTTAGCATGTTGTTAACAATGTTCTGAGAAACATGAGGATATATTGCGTTTTTCGGTTACGGGGAAAGGCCCCTTCACTCTGATCAAAGGACACGCTTTTATCGAGGGTTCCATGCGTGTCTTTTCTAGATTTCTTTGGATTCAAAGTATAGAGATGCAAACACAAGCGCGAGTTTAAGAGCTTGCATATAGACTGCGCGTATTTTAGACATGCTGCTGATTCAAGGACAGTAACTACAGCTATTCAAGCTTACACTGCATGTCTGTTCTGGGATGCACACCATTGAGCAAGTAGTGATTTGCATTTCCAGTAAAAAGTAGAATAATAAAAGCACAAAATTGTTATAAGGGAAATAAAATAAGAAAAAAAAAGGAATTCAAACAGAAATTGCCCCCCCCCCCCTAACCCAACCCCCCCTGCACCCTCCCCCGAGGCTAGAGCAGTCAGATATAAGTTAAAATTAATATGTTCAATACGAAAGTTAAAAAGTTGTTGGTTTCAAATGAACAGTTGGTCTTTTTAGGCTTTATTAAAAGTAAATGTANTTCAACTTAACCTGCAATTCTGGTTTTGGAAGCAAAACAATGAACAAGTAGTGAATTGCATTTCCAATAAAACGGAAAAAAAAAAAACGAACAAATTGTTATACGGGAAATAAAATAAAAATAAAAACGGAAATCAAACCAAAAATGGCCCCCCCCCCTAACCCAACCCCCCCTGCACCCTCCCCCGAGGCTAGAGCAGTCAGATATAAGTTAAAATTAATATGTTCAATACGAAAGTTAAAAAGTTGTTGGTTTCAAATGAACAGTTGGTCTTTTTAGGCTTTATTAAAAGTAAATGTAATAAGGGGATTAAGCCCTGCGTATTATTTCTCGAAGCAGAGAATGGCATTGAGAGATCAGTTTTCCGCGTGTGTCGTTAGCCGGCCGCCGTTTTAACGCGAACAGAACATTCTCCCGTTTGGAAAAAACGCGAAAACCTAAGTATTTAATTAGCTGCATGATTTGCAGCCTATTTGTACCGACTATTTCTTCATTTTGTTTACTTGTATTTTGTAGCTATGCCTCTCAACGTAAGAAAATCGAGAGGCCCAAATAGCAGTGTCTGAAGTTCTTGGCCGACTACCCTTCAACACAGCAGCATTTCATGGCTGGTACGAAGCGCGAGCAACAGGCCGCCATCTTCGCCAACAGATGGAAGACAGATCTAGTGGCAAGGTTTTGAGACGACGAAAGTCTGAAGGAAGTGCTGCATTTCTGTGGTCAAATAAGTTGTAGACTGTCCTTTGGTTTTTCCACCGTTTTCCCGTCGAATGCTTTTGTTCTAAACATCCACAAACACGTTGCCGATATTTTTAAATATGCAAAATCACGTGATTTCTAAGAAAACCTAATCACAAAACTGTGTTAAAACACAACAACACTTCGTTTTGTGATTAGGTTTTCTTAGAAATCAGGTGATTTTGCATACCTTTGTGATCTCGTTACCAAGTTTGGATACGCTGTAGCGCAAGTCCTCCCTGCGTGATCAACATGAAAATATTTTTTCGTGTAATAAATTTAAAAAGAAAAAACTATAATTAAGGCTTCTTGGCTTGTTTTATTCTTGTATAATAACACGTCAATCCAGAACTGTTTTGTATAGTGTACTTAAAGTAAAGAAAACTTATATAAACGTAGAAAAATTTAGTCAATACCAAGTTAGTTTTCAAACATTTTAGACAGCTTTTGTTCCTATTTTTAAAAACCCTGATGACTTCGTTTTAGTAAAGTTTCATGTCGTGTCGACGAGAGCTACAAACAAGCACGGCAGACTGAACGACAAAGGCAAACCGACGACTGACGTTCGGTGGTTGCCGTTAAATTAACGCGGTGCTTAATCTAACTATTACTTGATCATATTTATTTACTTTTATTTATTCTATTAGCTTTGGTCTAAATCTCTCTCTTAATATATATTAATAGGTAAGGTGCGACGGCGTATTCTTGCACTGACTACAAAAGTTACCACTGGACTGTAAACACAATACGATTTCCTTCTCAACAGTAAATTATTTGTTTAACCCCTTTTTTATCAGAAACACCGCCTATCTCGGAACCATTTAAATTTACCCCGTTCGCACTTTTTTTTGTTTTTTTGTAGTTCAATAAAGACACTTAAGTTCAAGGACGACAACAAATTTCAATAATAACTACACGAGTTCAGAAAATGACTCAAGCATTATTAAAATTCAGTTTTCACCCCTGTGTAGTTAAACAAAGACACCAAAAGTTAAAGAACGACAATAAAGTTCAAAACCAACTACATGAGTTCAGAAAATGACACAAGCATTAATGTTTGTTTATTAGTTAATGTAAAGGAAGGGGGTCTACTGGAACTGGGAATGTGGGGTGTCAGTGTTGTTTTCACATATTTTTTTTTATTTTAAACATACTTGGACTCTACGCTATTGACAGATACGCCAAGCGACATTGCTCACTTTTAGAAATCTTTTGGGTTTGCTCAACATTGCCTCATCCTCCTGCTTGCTTAGTTTTATTCTCCAGCCAACGCAGCTTTGTGGAAAATTCTCAGAAGGCGTGTTATGTCTTCGCATGACTAAACGCCGTGCAAAACATGTCGGGCGAAAGGCAATGAAAGCCTAAAGAGATCGAGAGAATTCCTGAATATTGACGCGTTATGAGTCGGCCCTCACCTGGGAAAAGGGCGTCGCTAGAGTCTTTGACAACCGTGAAATCAGTTTAGCTCGAAGTTGTCGTAACCTCAGTGCTTTAATATAATGAGAAATTTTGCCGGTCTATTGAAACTGGTCGTTTGTACAATAAAGCAAGTAGGACGCCAAGTGTTATCTTTGTTGAATAATAAAAGACTAATAAAAGAATAAATATCAAACCAGAAGTTGCTCTCTTCAACCTGTAAATCATAATTGATCCTGAGAGAATATTCACTGTGTTAAGGATTTCCCTGCTGTACTGTTAGCTCTATACAAGAGAGGAAGGGCGATTTTTTTTTAATTTCCGTTTCGCTGACACAGCTTTAGCAGAAATCTCTCTGTAGTCGTTTTCGTCGACAAAACGAATAGCAATATCGCTCTCCGCGTCTTCCGCCATTTTGTTCTTCGTCAATTCGTGAAGGACGCGTGACTCTGAGCGTGGGTCATCCACGCGGAACACATTTGCACTATGTGATTGGCTGTTGTCTAATCCCCCTTGGGATCTGCGGTCTTAAAAATAACTCGAGACGAACTACCTATGGAATAGGGTGTGTATGGGGGATGCCTTCTCTGTCCCCTTATCCTCTCTTGACAGGAATAAATTGAAGAGGGTTCTAAAGGCATGTTCTCGATTTTATTAATGCATTTCTTCATTACTTATCACGCCAGAATTACAAAGCGAAAATTGGAGATACGGATGTGAATCAACGTTGTTTGGTTATTGAATCAAATTTCTGTTGATATTATTTAAGGAACATCCTTTCATATTTATAAAACTGTTCATAACATAAGACTTTACAGCGCTCTATCAATTTTAATGTCAATAATTTTATCAGCAATACTAAAACCATAAACTGGTGCATGTCGTCGCGGAGTGAAATCTTAATTAGAATCGAAGCGCTATTACAAAGGAAGACGTTTATTTAAACAAAAATTCGCCCATTAAAATGCTTCAAAAAGGCACTATTCGACTGTGCGATCAATGAAGAAAGGTTGCAGTGTTGACGGAGGACGGGGCATTTGCCCTCTTTTTTCGTCCTCACCCCAGGGGATTTGACA